CAGACCTGTACTCTTTCTAACACCGTTGGAATTTTCGGATTCCGATGTTCCAGTGAGGAGTTATCATGCCCGCCATCAAAAATAAAGACTTTTTCTTTAATTACAAAAAAAAAAACAACAACAAAACAACAAAAATTTGTTGTAAATTATTTTTCTTCTCTTTTAAATCTTCAAATATATATGTGTAAAGTTACAAACCTTAACAAACATTGGTATTGATTTTCCAGCCCATTGAAAATCTTGAAAAATTAAAATCGAGAATGGGTGGGGCTCCCTTAATAGAAATGGTGAACCAAAGCGCCTATATTTCCTTCAATATGCACGAAATTTTGTATGGCGCACTAAATTGAATCTAGAATGATGTCTGTTAAGCTTCGTAAAAATCAGTTCATATTTAGATATAGATCTCATATATATTTTCGTCAGATTTTAACTGAGCTGCGACTAGAATGATGTGTGTTAAATTTCATGAAAATCGATTCAGATTTAGAAGTATCTCTCATATATATTTTTCCTCGATAGGTGTCGTTATAGCTTTTTTTATACCCTTCACCACTCTGTGGTACAGGGTATTATGTCTTTGTGCATATGTTTATACCCTTCACCACACTGTGGTACAGGGTATTATGTCTTTGTGCATATGTTTGTAACAGGCAAAAATAATCGAGATAGACACATGGTTCCTTTTGAGAATATGCATAGAATCACTTTCTAAGTCGATTTATGCATGTCCGTCTGTCCGTCCGTCCATGTATTTTTGTTAACAAAGTACAGGTCGCATTTATGATCCGATTTGGATGAAATTTGGCATAGGCCACTTAATTGGCCTAAGGACGAACCCTATTGAAATTGGAGAAAATCGGTCCATGTTTAGGCATAGCTCCCATATACGGGTACCCCCAAATTTTCGGTATTTTGAGGTTCTTGAGCGCATTTTTTACCTGAATTCGCTGAAATTTGGTACTTTGAGTTCTTATTGGGTAGCAAATCTCCCTACCAAAAATTATAAATAAAGGTCCATTTTTTCGGATAGCCCCCATATAAGGGTACCCCCAATTTTCGGTATTTTGGGGGTTTTCATCGCATTTTTCGAACGAATTCGCTGAAATTTGGTACGTTGAGTTCTTATTGGGTAGCAGATCTCCCTAATAAAAGTTATAAATATAGGTGAATTTTTTCGGATAGTCCCCATATAAGGGTACTCCCAATTTTCGGTATTTTGGGGTTCTTGAGCTCGTTTTATAACTGAATTTCCTGAAATTTTGTACATTGGGTTCTTATTGGGTACCAAATTACTCCACTAAAAATTATAAATATAGGTCCAGTTTTTCTGGTAGTCCCCATATAACGGTACCCCCAAATTTTTGGTATTTTGGGGGTTCTTATCGTATTTTTCGACAGAATTGACTGTAATTTAGTACGTCGAGTTTTTGTTAGGAAGCAAATCTTTCCACAATAAATTATAAATATAGGTCAATTTTTTCGGTTAGCCCCCATATAAGGGTACCCCCAATTTTCTGTATTTTGGGGTTCTTCAACGCGTTTTTTAACCAAATTCTTTGTAAATTGGTTTTTTGTAGTTGTATATGGTTACAAACCTCCCTCCCAAAAATTATTAATATTCGCCCCCCTTTTAGGGGTAGTCCCCTTATAACCCCCTTTTTATACAGTACTAAATTAGGTCATGATTAATGAATGCGAAGTTTTGTTGAAATCGGTTCAGATTTAGATATAGCTCCCATATTTAGTTTCGTCCGATTTAAAGTAAATTGTGCACCAAACTCCCAATATTGGTCCGATTGAAGCAAATTTTTGGGCAGAGTATTGAATTAGGTCTAGATAGTTATATGCCAAGTTTTGTTGAGTTTCGGTTCATATTTAGATATAGCTCCGATTTATAGTTTCGTCCGATTTAATGTAAATAGTACACCAAACTCACAATAGTGGACGACTAAAGCAACATTTTGCACCGAGTACTGAATGTATGTAAAATTTTGTTGTAATCGGTACAGATTTAGATATAGTTGCTATATATAGTTTCGTCCCATTTTATGTAAATGAAGCTCCATACTGCCAATATTTATCCTATTGCGACAAAATTTTACACAGCGTACTAAACTAGGTCATTGATGAATGCGAAGTTTAGTTGAAATCGGTTCAGATTTTGATATAGCTCCCATATATAGTTTAGTCCGATTTAAAGTAAATTGTGCACCAAACTCCCAATATTGTTCCGATTGAAGCAAAATTTTGCACAGAGTACTGAATTAGGTCCCGACTGATGCATGCGAAATTTCTATATCTACAGGATATTGTAGATATTAACATGTCTTGCATGTACCCATAATGGTGAAGGGTATCATATAGTCGGCCCCGTCCGACTTTTGAACTTTCCTTACTGGTTGTAACAGGCAAAAGGAAATGAGATAGACACATGGTTCCTTTTGAGAATATGCATAGAATCACTTTCTGAGTCGATTTATGCATGTCCGTCCGTCCGTCTGTCCGTCTGTAGATGTTAAATTGTAAACAAAGTGCAGGTCGCATTTATGATCCGAATGGGATGAAATTTGGCATAGGTCACTTATTCGGCCCAAGGACGAACCCTATTGAAATTGGGAAAAATCGGTTCAGATTTAGATATAGCTCCCATATATATATTTAACAGATTTAATGTAAACGGCCCCTATATATCTTTCGATTTATCTTTGAAAATCGGTCCAGATTTAGATATAGCTCCCATATATAGTTTCGTCCGATTTCATGTAAATGGTGCCCAAAGTCCCTATATATCTTTCGATTTGCACGAAATTTGGCATAACGTACTGAATTAAGCCTAGAGTGATGTCTGCTAAGTTTCGAGAAAATCGGTCCAGATTTCGATATAGCTCCCATATATAGTTTCGTCCGATTTCACGTAAATGGTGCCCCAAAGTCCCTATATATCTTTTGATTTGCACGAAATTTGGCATAACGTACTGAATTAAGCTTAGAAAGATGTCTGCCAAGTTTCGAGAAAATCGGTCCAGATTTAGATATAGCTCTCATATACAGTTTCGTCCGATTTAATGTAATGGTGCCCCAAAGTCCCTATATATCTTTTGATTTGCACGAAATTTGGCATAACGTACTGAATTAAGCCTAGAGTGATGTCTGCCCAGTTTCGAGAAAATCGGTCCAGATTTAGATATAGCTCCCATATATAGTTTCGTCCGATTTAATGTAATGGTGCCCCAAAGTCCCTATATCTCTTTTGATTTGCACGAAATTTGGCATAACGTACTGAATTAAGCCTAGAGTGATGTCTGCCCAGTTTCGAGAAAATCGGTACAGATTTAGATATAGGTCCCATATATAGTTTCGTCCGATTTCATGTAAATGGTGCACCAAAGTCCCTATATATCCTTCGATTTGCACGAAATTTGGCATAACGTACTGAATTGGGCCTAGAGTGATGTCTGCCAAGTTTCGAGAAAATTGGTCCAGATTTCTATATAGCTCGCACAAATATAGCTCACATATTTTACGTAATTGACGCACCAAGGAACCAATAAGAACAAAACGTTCTGAAATTAGTATAACCTAACCTGTGACAAGTTTGCTTGAAATCGCTTAATATTTGGATGGAGCTTCCATATATATTTTCGCATCAAACTCCTCATGTTAGCCAGATTCACATTGCACAACGTAGAAAATTGAGCATAGAATTACGTAGTTGCGTTTTCTAGAAGTACAGACATAGCCCAACGTATGTCCTATTTATATTTGTTTGAAGTCGATTTAGATACTCTATGGATATATCTAGGTAGATTCACATTTAGATAAATATCACATATATTATTTCATCGAATTTCATGTTAATAGTCCTGTTTAATATACCCATAGTGGTGAAGGGTATCATATAGTCGGCCCCGTCCGACTTTACCACTTTCCTTACTGGTTTAATTGGTGCAAATGCAGTCGCAGCTTCCATATATATTACAAAAGGGTATCTGATTAAGATTAAATTTTGAAGAATGCGGCCTACCGAATTTACATAAATGTGTCCCATTGTACTCAAACGACTAGAAACTTGCCCGAATGAAATGAAATTTAGCATAGGTCACATATTCAAGTTTGTTCAATTTCATGTCAATGTTCTTTCGAAATGGCGGAGTCTGTTAGGAGACATATGTAGAATATACCCAAAGTGTTGAAGGGTATCATATAGCTTCATACTTTACTACATTCCTTACTGGTTTTGTCTTGTTTTTGTTTTTCATATATAAAATATCATTTCGTGTTTGTCCTGATTTCCTGATTTTGACCTCCAAATATTCTAAAAAATGTATTTCATAAGATTATAGAAATGACCCCAAAGACAATAAATCGATGTTTTTATTGGAGAAATCTCTGATTCGTCTGAAATATTACCCATAAATAGATCTCATCATGTTCAAAACTTTAATAACATTTATTCGTGAAGACACCGATCAGGATATTTAGGTAATAAACTCAATATTTTGTGTGTGTGTTTTTTTTTTCAAAATATGCAGCCTGAATTCCTATTTTACTTCGACATAATTTGTCTATCTTTAAATTCCTATTTTACTTCGACATAATTTGTCTTTAAATTTAACCAATATTTAGTTAAAAATTTTTAAAACACATTTTCCTCCCAAAATCCCAAATTCAAAAAACATATTTTATTTATTTTTTTTAATTTCATAAAAATATATATTTTGGCTAATTAAATATAATATCATTTGTTATATATATATAAAAAAAACTTATTTAGCTAATAATGTCTTCCAGGTTTTCATAAATTAATAATTACAAAATTTGAAAAATATCTAAATTTTACTATAATACAAAGCAACAACTATTTACAAAATAAACATTCTGAGGCAGGTTTTTGTGGCTTGACTTTGTTTTGCGATTTTTGTTTTTCTTCAAGGTACAAACTTTGGCACGAGCTCAACTCAGTTTCCATCTTTCGAAACGAAAATTAGTATTCAAATTTAACGCAGTAAATCACCCAGGGCGGCAATGTAGGTCTGGGCCATTTGTAGAGTTTCATGTTTGGATAGTTGGCGATCATTGCCCAGGCAGGGTAGGTACTGGCGCAGACGATCGAAAGCTTGATTGAGATTTTGCATGCGACGACGTTCACGGGCATTGGCGGCCAAACGACGTTTACGCTTAACAACGGGTGAGATTTGTTTGCCACGACGTCTTTTGCCATTTGCTTGGGTTTCATTGGGGTCCGATTCATTGTGGGCCGAACTGGCTGAATCATCTTGATCGTGGAAATCAAAAGAGCCACTGGCTTCAAAATCATCCTGCGACGAGCTATGGCCGTCAGCATCGAAAAACATGAGGTGATCATCGGCATCAACGCTATCCTCGAAGAGACCACCAGCATTGTCGAAATCCACAAATTGTTGGAAATCATCAGGGGTGTAGGTGGTCAGGGGAGCGGGAGTGGGTTGAGGATTAATTGGTGCGGGGGTGTTGTTGGCAACTGCAGCTAGCTGGGTTTTTTGTTTGCGGGTGTAGGTCCTTTTGGGTTTGGTGGCGGGTTTCACGGTTTTGCAGGTGCCCACATTGGAGGAACCCATGGGCACACAAGTTTCAGGCACAGTGATGCTGGGTGTTTCACATGGAACTGGGGAAATTTGTTGGTGTTGTTGTTGCTGTTGATGTTGTAGTGGAGCAATTTGTTCGGCGGTCATTAGGGGATATTGCATCATTTGGTGCTGATGATGCTGTTGAGGCATATTAGCACTGCCATAGATAACATTGAGATCCACAAATTCAGGACTTTCCGAACGATGTGAAGCTGGTGAAGAGGTTAGCCAACCATCGGAGGAGGCCTGTTCAAAATTCAAATATCCATGGGTATTCAAATATTGGTTGCTAGTCGCGGTGATGGTATTGGGCGCCACCTGGAAATGTTGAGGCAAATGTCCCGGCTGTTGAGTCAGCTGGGGAGGATTATACACAGCCATGGGATTGAAATAGGTCTCCGTGCTAGTACCCTTGAAAGTTTGTAAATCCTCTGAGGTTTTGTAGTAGTAACGATAAACTTCGTTGGCAGACATGGTGAGAGATCGGATTTTTTGTTTTAACGAACGAAATGAAATTGGCGTTTAAACCGTAGTTGTTATTCCTTGCAACTCAAGTGAGTTTCTGTCTTAACCAGAGTCCTGTGGCCGGTATTTATAGCTCTGCTGGTTGTGGTAAATTTCATACAAGTGAATCTACCACAGCAGCAGGTATCATTGAGGCACACACACTGACACAAAACAGGTAAGTTGCTCCACAGAAGAGTATTGCCTTCCTTTGCATTCCAATGGTTAAAACAACCCTGGCACAAATGCTCACACACAGCCAGCCGCAACAGTCCCTGTGTGTGTTTTGACCATCCTTGTACATGCCCCTCGCTGGTGTATCCATGTATTGGAATTTAATTCACAACAACAGCTGTGGATTGTGGTCGTCTCGCCCAAAGAGCCAGCGAACAAATCGTTCGACTCTAGCAACAGCATCAGCACGTGCTCCCTTTAAAATATACTGAATGTCTGTCTTTCTGTCCGTCCATCCAGTTTTTTGTTATTCTCTTTTGCTTTTTGATTTACGACCATCCAACCAACCACTACATCCATTGCAACCAATGAAATGTTCACTGGCCAAGTGTGGTGGGTAATCGCAAGCCATGCTGATTGGTTGCTTAACGTCTGAAGATTTTTTATTTTAAATTTTTTGTTTTTGATTTCTTTTTTTTTTTTGATTTTCTTATAGAAGAAGAAAAAAGTAAAAAAAATCATCATGTTGTAAACTTTTGCAACATCAACTCTGCCGATTTTTTTTCTTTTTGAGTTTTTGTGAGAATAAATTTTGGATAGAGATTTTTATAAGACTTCATTACAGACGACAGACCAAACAGATTTTTACAGATGTTTTCGTAACGCTTTTTTACTTACAAACTGCAATCTTTAATATTCCCAAGATTTAGTTATTGAGAAAAACGAGTACTGGGACAATTGCAGCAGATGTCACCGAAAATTGTGTTATTCTAGAATTGTGGTAAAAAATATATTGAAATTTTTTCTCAATTTTTAATAAAATTTTGAAATGATATGCCTGATTGGTTTGTAATTAAAAAGTGATTAAATTTTGAGATTCTTTATCATATAAGGATTCCCAAAACTATGTATGTGTGTTCTAATTTAAAAAAAAATACTTCGGTTAAACCTAGTTTTTAACTTATTTTGACGGTCGAATCTAAATTTTCAAGCGATGTGGCAAACATTAGTCATTTCGGGTTCTCAGTGGGGGAAAAAACTTTTTTGAGAAAATTTTTAATTTTGATCCCAATTTTGACATAAGATCTAGTACCGTTTTATGTATATTGAAGATCCCAGCCGAATTTTCCAATGTTTGACTTGTTTATTTTTTTTACTTCATTTGTAAATCGATTTCTGTTGGAAATTTTGCATAAGTGAGAAAAAAGGAGGGCATCTATTAAGCAATAAAATAATAACAACAAAATGTTGCTAAATATTTTTCTTCGACATAAATATAATCCACATAAATAATTCCTAATGTTACAAGAGACTTTTTTATTAAATAGGTTCTGCGAAAAACATTCCAACTAAGCAACTAAGTGATCTGAAATCAATTATAAAATCCCAAATTTTTAATTGCATCGGACACTTTCCTGGCTCAGATTTAAATTTAAATTTTATTTTATTGTCAATATATATTCAGTTATTCTTTTGGTATTTAACATTAAAAGTTGTCGAAAATGCTCAAAATGTGGGGTACCGTAATAAGGCGGCCACCCCAAAAATTGGTCTAATATTGACACTTTTTGGAGGGAATATTTGGTACCAAATTAGTAACAAACATACTAAATTACAGCCAATTCGTTCGAAAAACGTTTTCAAAATTCTCAAAACTGGTAAATAAGGGCACGACAAATACTCTAGAACCCCGATTTGCATCGTTTCGAGTTGCGTCGCTTTTCAAAAACCAGAAAATTCGATTTGCGTCGTTGCAATTTCGAGTTGTGTCGGTCCGAGCTACATTGTGGATTACTTTTTTTGGCATTTGCAGTGCCTGATTTAGCATCTTTTCTGTCGTTTAGCATTTTTACAACTTCTGGCAACACTGTTCGTCCCCTGTGCGTTAACAAAATTTCAAAATATCGTCACCTAAAATGCAAAACGGCGTAACTAACAAAAAATTTAAAATTGACTTTTTGAATGAATATTGTAAATGTCAATAAACTACATGTGTTGACAAAGTTTTACACGTCTGCGGTCAAAAAAGGAGCTTCTATTAACAAAAACAAAAGGACGTAACTACAAATGGGTTTATTTTGATAAATGCAAAAAGGCGTAACTAACAAAAAATTCACGTTTTTACTTAATTGTTATGACTGCCATTAAACTAAATAACTAAATTTGTAAAAAAAAATATAGTATATTATTCGTCATATGCAATATCATCCTGCCGGGCATACTTTTTCATTTTACATGACATGTTTATAGTTTTCATTCAAAACAGTTTTTTGCTTCTCCTACACAATTATGCTTTTGTTAGTTACGCCTTTTTGCATTTTAGCTAACGATATATATTTTCAAAATTTGCTTTGTTTTGAATAGTTTCCCCAGTAAATTAAATTTAAGTGCATTTTGTATATGTATAGAAAAAGGTGAATCGATTTTTGTCGTTTTGAGTTGCGTCGCGATTCTCCGGTCGCCATTAACGACGCAAGTCGGGGCTCAAATGTAATAATAATATTTAGAAGATAGATTTGGTAGCCAGTGAGAATTCTAAATCCCCCATTTGACTTCGGGGGTGTGGGGAATAAAACCTTGGGTGCAAAAAGCTTGAAAATAATTGTTTATAAAATGAAAAATAATCCACTTTAGAAGAAAATTTTCTGCAAGCGCTGGTGAACATTCCAATTTTTATATCCTACACAACTATGTTGTCAGGGTATTATAACTTTGTGCAGCCTCAAAAGTTAGTAACGCCGCGAAATATTGGTCCTAGACCCAACTTTAAGTATACCGATCGTCATATCTGGATTAGTTGAGTCGATCCATTATAACTTGTAAACACGATATGGACCAATCTTCACGAAATTTTGCATGTAGGATGGGTTCTGCCCAATATTTGCGCTCCAGAGGCCGCAAATATGGCCCGAACATAGTGAAGTTTTACATGGGCCAAAGAATAAGCATGCCTGTTTTGATAAAGGTCGCTCAATATTTAGCGGGTCCATTCGACCTTCGACATTTGTGTGAAAAATGACAACATGTTGTATTCTATGGCGTATTTAAGAGGAAAGGTTGACCTTTAAATTGATACCAATTATATTGTCGTATGTACTCGGATACGTATTCCGATATTATTTAGTAAACCATTACCACACTAGAGGTCGGAAATATAACGCTGATCGCGTGGGGTTCCACTTATGGTCAGATAATAATCAGATAATAATTTTGGAATGAAGAGGACCAACAACATACTTTTTTATTTTTTCAAGTCAATCTATAGGCTACAGTTATAAGCTGAATATGTCATTGTAAGGAAGAGCTGCTGTTGACCTTTAATCGGGCAAAAGGGTGTAACTATCACAAAGTATTTCCCAGGCTGGAAATAAAAATATGCAGAAAGTTAGAATTTCGTGGTAGTTGTGTAGGGTATTGTATGGTCGGTCACACTCACTGCTTTCTTTTTATAAAGAATACTACTTACCATTTAACACACCCCACATTCCTTTAATGGAAAAATATTGCATTGTTCACAAAGGTTTAAGGCACGAAACACTATAGATTCGTATCTCAGAGCTGAATGTCATCATTTCCCTTAATTATTTTATTACACAAAACAGTCTTTCAAATCCGAGATCATCCAAAATAAATATCCCGTGATTCTATGAAATTTCTGATACATTTTTATTTTTATACTATTTTTAATAAATCTTCGACGATGATTTTCACATCTTGCACTAGATGTATCTAGTAAAAAAAATCATTAGGTATATCCATCCATTTTCATTTTAAGCTAAAAAGATTATGAAAGGTGATCTGTCCAAATATTAAACATTGTGATTTTTGTGATGATCAGTCAACATTTAGCGTGTAGAATACACCAAGACTTTTATTTGAAAACTTCTGGAATATGTAATCCGGAAAAGCTGTACGTGGATGAGCGAGAAATGGTTGATCTTTAATCTGATAGGTATGTAAGAGGATGAAGAAGGAAGATGTTCTAAATTTGTATGAGAGTGATATATTCTAATTTTCCGTCAGAATAAAAATTTTAATCATAATATGCCCCAAGGAAATGTATAAAACCGTTTATTTTTACCTCATTCGAGCAGTCCTCAATGTTTCAATATTATTGATATTTAAAGGTTGTTGTAGTTCATCTTTCATCTTCATTTTGTGCACGATTCCTCAAAACTTATTAATTCAATCGGTTATGACACGTTATTCTGTACATATTTAACTATCTTATGAAATAGATTATAGATAACATAGATTGCACCCATCTACCAACTACTTCTTGTATCGCCTTCAACATAAAGCTAGTTTCATCAAATATTACCCATCGTAACATTTTTAAAAAATGTAGGTCAAGTCCGAGATTGAGACTCATAGGTCTACTTCTTATGGTACCTCCCCCACAAAGGATCAAGATTTATAAACATGACAGGTCTTACTATTTATACTAAAATAGCTGACCCGGCGGACGTTTTGTTTATCATTATATATGCCTTGACTATTTTTTAATATTGCTGTTTTTATCGTACCTTTGGGATTTTGGAGTTTTTTTTCGATTAATTCGATGGAGACATTCGTATCGCAAATTTTCTTACCGGATTTTCAGATCATAAATTCCATTTTCTAACAGTTGTTATCATACGAAAGCTAAAACCAGTAAAAGAGTGTCAGTCGGTGTTACCGACAGATATATACTCTCAGCCTATGGTTTGCGGAGATATTCGGAATTACATACAGGTTTTATTATTCGCTTTATATAAGCCATATGTTTTATCAAAGACGTTTTGGATTTAATGTTG